GGACTAAAGGTGAGGCGAGTTTACACTTATTGTTTTCCTGGTATGTAGTTTATTTGGAATTCTGAAGGCAGAACACGAATGGCAAAGAGCACATGTTCACACTATGGAAGACAGAAAGAGCACATGTTCACACTATGGAAGACAGAAAGAGCACACGTTCATACTATGGAAGACGGTTATTTCAGAGTCACCCAGAGCAAGACAAGAGTATTTGTAAACTAGCACCTAAAGTTTTGTAGGAAACAAATATTTGAAAGTTCCTGGGCTCTGGTGGCTCACATCCGTCATCCTAGCTACTTAAGAAGTGGAGATGTGAAGATCACTGTTTGAAGCCAATCTGGGCAGAAAAGTCCATGAGACTCTTATCTCCAGTTAACCACTAAGAGTCATAAGTGGAGCTGTGGCTCAAGTGATAGAGCACAAGCCTGACACAAAAAAAGCTGAGGGACAGGGCCTAAGCCTTGATTTTAAGCCCCAGGACACACACACACACACACACACACACACACACAGAGTTCTTGGTGCTTGCCTCAAATGCTCAAGATCATGAATTTAAGTCCCAGTCCACCACACACAAAAAAAATAATTTTCAGTATGTAAGGAAAAAATTACCAAAGTTATGGCATTGCTTTGTAAACAACATCTTTTATTTTGTTCTATTTACAATCACTTAGCTTATATTTGCAAAGACTAAAGCTACAAAGTATCTAAATTTCAGATGTCAGTTGCAAAGCCAGACTGCTTAATGTTGTGCACCATGGAGGGAAGCAGTTGGTCAAAGAATATGACACACAATTTTAGTCTGTTAGGAGAAATAAGTATGGTATGGTGACCATAGCTAGTGACAATATTTGTATTCTTGTGTGTGTGTGTGTGTGTGTATGTGTGTGTGTGTGTGTGCATGCCAGGGCTTAATCTCAGAGCCTTTCATTCTTGCTCAGTTTTTAGCTCATGGTTGGCACTTGAGCCATGCTTCCAGTTCTGGTCTTTAGCTGGCTAATTGGGGATCAGAGTCTCAAGGATTTGTCTGCCCTGGCTGACTTCAAGTGAAGAAGCTTTTAGCCTCCAGGGTAGCTTGGATTATAGGCTTGAGCTAACAGCACTCTAATAGGCATTGTATTCTTGAAAAACACAGAGAGTGGATATCGTGTTCTTATCATCAAATGATAACTGTGTGAGTTAGTGTATATCTTAGTTAGCTAGGTTTAATCATTGTACAATGTGTATTTGCTGCAAATCATCACCTCATACTAGATAACCGCACACAACTTTATTTGGCCCTGAAAATAATAAAAGGAATGACTTGGCACCATGGAGTGGGTGATATCATGGAATGTCAGAGGCACCTGAGGGATGATTCTGTTCCAATCAAAGCACTTTATTTATAGATGAGGAAATGGCTCCGCTGAGATGAGATGATTGTGAATTCAACTGGACAACTTGCATCTACAGGCGATCTTCCCAGCCCCCTAGGAAAGTGGAGATGAATGAAGTCCCTGAGTGGAGGATTCTTACACAGGACAGAGGGAGTCAGATTCCTAACAGAGTGAGATTACGAAGAAGAGAGAGAGATCAGCACCAAGTAAACAGGACCTGGAGGTGGTCTTCCTGTCCTTTCTTGGATCAAGGGCTCTCTCAGAGCAGCTAGAGTGGGAAGGGCATAGCACAGAGATGGAAAGGAGTCTAAGCATCCTGTAGCCTCTGGCTTCATGTCCTCCTCTTTCACTAGCCAAAGCCCAGCAGTTTCGAGCCTCAAGCAACAACAGCAGCAGCAGCAGCAATCCAAAATACAACCACAGCATCCAAAAGAAGAGCTCTTCAAAACTATTGCAGGACAGCTGGGCATGGTAGTGGATGTCAATAATCACAGCTATGTGGGAGGCATGGGTAGGAAGATCTTGGCCTGAGACCAGCCCCTGGCAAAACACAGAACCCCATCTGAAAAATCAAAATAAAATAAAATAAAAAATTAAAATAAAGCCAAAAGGGCTGGAGATGTGGTTCAAGAAGTAGTTTCCAAACAAGGGCAAACTCTTGAGTTCAAGTCCAAGTTTACAGAGAGAGACAGACAGACAGACAGACAGACACACACACACACACACACATACAGACACACACACACACACACACACAGAGACAGAAGCACAGAGAAAGGGAACACACTTAAAGGGCTCCTTAACCAACCAACTTATTCTGCTTTCTGTTGCTATAACACCACCTCTGAGACTGGGTAATTCATAAAGAGGGTTGTTTTGACTCCTGGTTCTGGAAGTTGGTTGAAAGCCTCAAAGCCTGGCACTGGCACCTGCAAGGCTTCTGGTTATTTCTACTTAGAGCAGAAGGCAGACGGCTACGCAGGTGTGTAGAAGAGGTGAGTCTGTCACTGCCTCTTTCCTGGGCGGCTGACTTAGTCCCTGACAGGAAGAAGTCATTCTCACAGGAGGGTTTGTCCTTGGGGTGAGTCAAACCCTCACGATCCAAATGCCTCCTCGCCGCCTCGCCACGCCTCCAACACTATTCCACCGAGGACCAAGACTCAATGTGAAATTGGGTGGCGGCAAAACAGTTTCAAACCATTGCACCAACTACAAAGTTCCTTGCTCTAACGTGATGGCGTAGGAGACATTCAAAGCACGTGTTTCTAGTAACAAACTTGTATTTATGCTGCCAGAAACATTAGTTATGTATTTAGAAAGTTGTTCATCTCCCAAGAGCAGTTGTGGCCGGAGAGGCCTACTCAGATCAGAATCCTACATGCACTTTTGCACTCAGGCGGCTCCATCCCAGATGGTCTAGAGCTGGACTTCAGCTAGAAACCCCGGGGCCTCAGGTCTAATCCAGACCCTCCCCATACAGCCCTTCTTTTTGACTCAACTCTAGGCAGGCTCTTCTGAGCCTTCTTCTTGGCTTGGCTGGAAACTTGACCTATAAATACACAGACAGTTGGTAGGAACAATTTCCACACACTAAGAGACTTGAACAAACACCAGCATTGTTCCTAAGCACTCAAGGCTGGGTCCTTGTGGAGACTCCAGCCCCCTGAGCCTCAGGAAAAATGAACACTGCAACAAGAAATTGATTGTTGGAGCCTAAACTTGGTGACAGGCAGGCAAAGCTCCTGCTCCCCTCTGGGGGTGACTCAGCAAGCTTGCAATTAGAAACCCTTTCTCCCTTTGAAGTATAAATCTTCTACCATTGAGAAAGGTCTCCTTGTGCTGTCTCTGAAATGCAAACATTAGAACTCTCCCTGCTGGGTGTGCACTTGGCGCAGACTTACACCAGGGGCCCGTCCTAGTTAAGATCAATTGATTTCTTCGCCTGATAGCAGTCAGAGCAAATCACATGGACCGATGACCTCTTGCTTTCCCTTCCCTGATATTACTTGAGCTCTGAAGAGTAGAGCGAAGTTCATGCTGGGGCCTCTTCTCTGTGGCAGTGAATGCTCAGTTTAGACTATCCTTTCTCCTTTAGTGTTCAGCTTTGTTTATCTTTGATCCAGGAAAACAAATAGAGGGGAAAAAATTCTAGGCTTCCCTAACTATATTTTATTATCATCATTAAAAATATGGGAGTCATTACTCGAAATCTATGAAATGTGCAAAGAAATGGTTATCAGTCAACTTCAACTGTTAACTTTCCACTTTGGGGGAATGGGAGAAAGGCCAAAGGTTGGGAATCATGTTGAGTGTACAGTCGGCAAAAACATCTACCCCAGTTTTCTCCTCCAGTATCAACACTCACCAAAATGGGGCTTTTCAAATGCCAATGCCAATTCAAACAATCTGATGTTTGTTTTTTCGACCCTATTTGCTTACTGTTCTAGAAGAGAACTACTGACAGTCTTGAGTATCACTTCTTAAAGCTCAGCTCAGAAGCTATTTAAAGCTGTTTATGTCACTACCCCAGTGGCTGATCTGGTAGATTCGAGCCCCCCTTTTCCCAGAGGTGGGTCCCATGTCTGGTGTTTGCTGGTATTAAATTCTGGACAAATTAATCTCTTTGTGTCTTTATTTCTTTATTTGTTCAATGGTTCTCATTTTAGCACGTCCTTTATAGGCTTCTTATGACAGTTTTTATATTAAAAGTGTGTCAAAAGGACTTTAGAACACAGGTGTTTCTGTTCCTTTCTCGGGGGACACTTCCCTTGTTAACAGTGCTAAATGCCCGCGCTCAGTGTGTTCCTTTTGCAGTACTCCAGCGCCACAGAGTCATGGATGGGATTTGGAGCTAGCCTTCTAGGGTCACTATGAGCCCTTCCACTACAGTTCCTGCGTTTCGTGGTGGCAGCCCCTGGCCTCAGTTTCCCTTCCATCGAAGGCTGGGCTGCAGCGTGTGGTAGAACGCTGTGGTCAGCAGCCCTGTCCTGTGCGGGCCTTTGCGCTCTGTCAGCGGTGGGAACTGAGCACGCTCACGCTGCTCTGCAGGGGTGGGGAAGGGCGTGCTGAGGACGGCGGGATGCACGGCGTGGCGGGCCGAGGCGCACTGTGTGCACGCGCTGCTGTCCACATGCATTTAAAGGCTACTTTTAAGACGTGCTTGTTGCATGAACAAAGAGCAGCGGAGACGCTACTCCTGGAGCATCTCAGTCATCCTACAGGAAAATGCACGCGTGCTGGCCCGAAGGAGCCCTCACGACTCCCGGCCTTCCTGCCGCCACTCTCCTCCACGACAGCCAGGGACAAGAAGAGGCTGTGGATGAGCGCCCCAGCCCACACCACACCCCAGGGAGCGCCCACCCGGAGCCCATGCCTGGCGGCCACTGCGCCTGCGTCCGGAGTGACACCCCCCCACCCCCCGTGTGCGCCAGAAAGCTGCATGGACCCACTGCGCCTGCGCATGCTGCAGCACGCTTCATTGCGGCGGCGCGAGAAGCAGTGCATTTCGGGACTTGTAGTTTTCCCAGCAGGATGGGCGGGGGAAGGGGAGGTCTGGGGTGGCGGCGGGTGGGGCAGAGGGCCTGGCGCTGGAGGCTCCGCCGCCGGGAGTGGTGAGTGTGTGACGTCGGGGTTGGGTCGAACCTGAGCGGAAGCCGCCAAGCTCTTTGTAGGGGGGGCGCTGGGGATCCGGCGATCGCCCCTGGTAATGGTTGCTGGCCGCCGGCGGCGCGGCGCGGTGGGCGGGCCCGGGAAGGTGGCGGCCGCCGCCGCTGCGCTCGGGCGCGCGCCCGGGGTTGATGGGGCCTGAGGGGGTCGTCCACGAAGTCCTTGGAAATGTGCCGCGAGCGGCGTCAGCCTTCGGCCCTCGGGATCCTCCGTGGGGTGGGGGTCCCCTCCCGCGGGTCCCGGGGTGCGGAGAGGCAGAGGCCAGACCGGGTCCCCGGGCCCGCCCGGAGCAGCCGGGGCCGCCGGAGCGCAGCGGCCAGGGCCTGGTCACCGAGGCTCAGCGGCCAGGAGAACGGCCGCGGGGGACGGGCCCTGGCCCCCACTGCTCTCATTAGCCTAGCCCGAAGGAGTGAGAAGCTTTGTTTGTTGCTAGAGAAACCTGGCAGCCGGGCTCCCACCTGCAATCCTAACTGCTCAGGCGGCCGGGATCTGAGGATGCAGGTTCAAAGCCAACCCTGGCAGCAAAGCCTGTGAGACGCCTGTGTCCAAGTAGTGAAGCTGTGGCTCAAGTGGTAGAGAGCCAGCCTGGAGCAAAAAGGGGGAAAAAAAAAAAAAAAAAACAAACGCCAGCTAAGGACCAGGACCCCACGCACCCACTCAAAACAGAAGCAACCCACAATAGAAAACCAGAATCGTTGAAAGACAACAGGAATGTTGGCCGTTTGCTAACTATTGCGTTTAAAACTAAGGCTATGGCTAGTGCTAGGGTAGATCTGAATTTTCCCTACAGTTCATAAATGGTATGTTCCTGGAAACGGTCTCTATCCTGGTGGGCTTTGCAGTTCCCCCTTAGATACCAACCGCTTTATGTTTCTAATCGGGTGGATATCTGGTATCAGAGCAAATGGCTTCCTGATATTTTTAAGCTTTCTTGGTTCTTTTCAGGAGACCTGATTTTTGGGGGGAGGGGGGTAATAAAAATGCCTGACCTGCAACCTGTAATTTTAGGGAGGTGGGGAAACTTGAAATTCAGATCAGTGGCAAGGAATGAACAGAGATGACAAGGGTGGTTTGGCCTCCTCTCCCCACAGTAACCCCATCCCTCACTGTGACTGCAGATAGACTGCCCTCTCTTGAATTTTATCACGCTAGATAGGAGGCTGAAGCAACTGCCAGTGCATTTATTTAATTTCATATTTTTATTTGAAATCTTTTAATGCTCTCAGAATATTATGATTTACCCATCCACCTAGCAGAACATTGATTCGTACTAACTGCAGACCAAATATGTTAGTGTATGTTTGCAGTCAAGTTCTCTGATATCAGAGAGAATGGTGAGTTGTTAATCCCAAAGCTGGGGACTCATTCTTTGTGGATTCTGATTTTTACCAGTATTAGCACCTCGGTATTTCCCACACATTTTCTGAAGGTGCACAGCTTGTCCTGGGTCATCTGCTGCCCTTGATGCTACCAGGAACAGAATCCAGATCTCTGGTCCTCCTCATTGTCCGCATTATTCTTTGTTTCATGCCATGTTGTGCAGTGACTGAATTGGGCCCTGGATGTCACTTGTTTAATACCATTCAGCTTAGCTTACCCATTAGTGGAAGGAGAGGGATTTATCATAAGACGAGTGGCTAACATTGGACTTGGAACTTTCTATGTGCTGAACATGGTGATTAGTGCTTACCAGCCAGTTTCTGAAGGAGACTTTTCAGAGGAGGCTTAAGGGGCCACCTGTCTCCTGCAAGGTCACATTGCCAGTACGTGTGACATGTTTGTCGCCCCCTGCATGTTCTTTTATTTCCACTGATAAACATTTTGGGCCTATTATTTCCTGCTTGACCTTGGAAATCAATATCCTGCCTTCATCAGCACATGAAGTACGTCATTTTGCTTTAGGAAATTTGTAGAAAACACCAGACTCACCTACTGTATTATAAAACTTGCACATAACTCAATTATGTCCAGAATTATAAAAATAAAATGTAATGAACCAAAACATTTTGTTTCACTCTACAATATAGCTAATCCATAAGATTTTTAGTGATTTCATTTATTTCTAGAAACATGTGAAGGATGTCCTTCTCCAGGATAGGTCAGAATCCGCTATTACTTAAAGCAAGTGGGCCATTCATTTATACATGAAGGTAACGAGGGCGATCACCACTGTCACATTTAATCAGAGCAGTGCTTTAAAGTCCTGCCCTGAGCTTATCTGACTTTGGAAAAGTCATGGGGAAAACTGGGTTATCTTGTGCCAGTTGCTAGGTGGTTTTCCAGATACTATAACCTTCAGTAGATGAGACTGGAACATTTTATTGAGATGCTCTTGTAATTGAAAATTTTTCTAAAACATCTCCCGAAAGTTCATCTAAAGGAAGTCCAAAGCCCTGTGACATTTTCTGCTTTTCTTAGTTGTAGGTTCATTTAAAGAAAAGTGTTGCCATGATTTTTAAGTGCAAAGCTCTCTGCCTGCGACACGAGAGCACTGAGATTAAGTGTGCAGAGCCAGACCGAGTCGGCTCAAATCCCATCTAGATGTATTCCTTAAACTTTGAGTGGAGATAATAAATAGTAAACTGTCTGATGGGGAAACTATATAGGCTAAGTGGATTCATTCACCTAAGCTCTTTAGCACTGCCTGGCATAAGAGAGTTACGTGGTAACTATTGTGCCATCAGGTTTCAGAAAAAGTAGGGCCCTTACCGGCCTGTCTTCATTTACAGTTGAACCAAGGCCCTAGAAGAAAGTCTCTCAGCAGAGCGTGGTGGTGATTTATCTAGAGCTTACTCTTGATATATATGTGTCATATTCTAAGAATAGTGACCAGTGAGGCCTCAGAGCAAGCCCGGTGCTTGGACTCTGCCTGTCACCTCCAGCCCTGACTTCTACGAGGTCTCCTGTACTCTTTAGAGAGAACTTTGTATAGATTGCTTTCATAGGACATTTTGTTTCCTCCCCTCCAGAAAAACTTCTTTAAACTCAAGATGAGCTCAGTGGGAGACTTTCAAAACAGAAGGACATTCATCTCCAAACCAGCTAGTGTTCTGGGCAGGAGGTGGGGGGGCGCCTTTTGGGGTTTTGGGGGTTGTTCTTAGGTGCAGGAGGAATGGGGTGGGTGCCCACATTCCTTCGGAGCAGCGCCATCACCTCTGCTGGGACTGTGAAGAGTCCCAGGGGCGCGTTTTGCTCAGCAGGAGCCAGCCCAGTGTCGGCCCTTACCCAGGCTTCTGCTCACAGGGCTTTGGTTGCCTTGCTGCGAATAGTAATCCCAAAGTGGTCTGCCCAGAAACCTGAAGTTGATACGGTTTTTCTTCCACCTCAGATCCGAAATTCCAGCTCCTGGACCTGACCTTTCCGCTCCTGCTCATGCCCTTGTCTTGGGGAGCTACGTTGATCAGCAGTGAACTTATAGTTGGCCCATGATGAACTGGAAGGTGAGAATGGTTTTAGACATTTATAGCATGGGTTTCTCTTTCCTGCCTGTAGCTCTCTGACATCCCTGAGATACTTTATAGATAGAAGAGACAAGGGCTGCTTAGCTCACATTTGCAGTGATTCCAGACCCGGGTCACTTGGAGACTTCCTTGCATGCCATACCCTGTGGTAGGGGTGCCCAATGGCATGATGGGGCTGTGGGGGAGTAACCTGCTCACCTCAGGAGCCAGAAAACAAAAGAGGAAGAGACCACAGTCCCATAGTCCTCTCTGCAGGCATGTCTCCAGTGACCAGAGGCTGTCCCATAAGGCCTCACTTCCTAAACGTCCACAGCATCTCTTAATAGCACCAGCCAGGGGGCCAAGCCTTTCCTTCATATACGGCCTTTGTGAGACATGAGCCACCTTCGAGCCAAAGCTCCTGATGGTAAACATCACAACTGTTAGTGAGAATAACAGTCTTTATAAGTAGACTGATTAAAACAGGGAATGAGGCCGACACTGGTGGCTCACGCCTGTAATTCTAGCTATTCAGGAGGCTGAGATCAGACGATCATGATTCAAAGCCAGCCTAGGCAGGAGAGTCCATGAGACTCTTATTTCCATTTAACTGCCAAAAAGCCAGAAGGAGAGCTGGGACTTACGTGGTAGAATGCCAATCTTGAGCAAAAATGCTCAGGCCCTGACATCAAGCCTCAGGACTGGCAAAAAAGAAAAAAAAAAAGATTGTTGATCGAATTGAGCAATAGTTCTCTTTTTCTTCCATAAAAGTAGGAAAAGTCCAGTGTCTCAAGGATCACAGAGGTCATTAGCACACAGCTGAAGCCTGAGACCTTCCCTCACCCCCTCTTCACAAAGCACTCCAAGGTCCTTTTGGGGTCCTTGACCTCAGCTGCTGTCATTCTGCCTTCCTTTTGGTCCTGAAACTCCTCCTGTCCCTCCTCTTCTCCATGCTATAAAAAGAAAGTCAATACCGAAACCACTTGCCCATGTCTGTCAGCTGAGGTTTCCTTTCTGATGAGTCTTCAAACTTCTCATTCAGATAACACAGCCTCACGAGGGCCAGAGCCAAGTTTCAGGTTTAGACCAGGCTGTCTCACGTGAGCTCCAGGGTGTCAGCCACGGAGATGAAGTGCATGGGCAGAGAAGGCCAGCCAGCCTAGAACACCTCAGGTGCAGCAACATTCCATTCCCTTTGCCCCTGGAATGCAAACCTTTAAGAAAGTGGGTGGAAAAGGCTTGTGGGGCCGGGCGAGGCCTGGCAGCCAAATCAGAGCAAGTCATTCCTGAAACCAGGGTAACTGGTGCCAGTACTAGTGTCACGCTCTCACCTGTCATTTGGCTTTTAACTCAAGGCTGGTGCACTCCACTTGAGCCATACCTTCACTTCCTGCTTTTTGCTGGTTAGTGATAAAGAGTCCCAAGGACTTTTCTGCCTGGCCTGGCTTTGAACCATTATCTCTGCCTCCTGGAAAGCTAGGATTCCAGGTGTGAGCCACCAGCAACCAGCTTCTACTGGGTTACAACCATCTACTGCTGCCAGAATCACCTTTCATAGTGCATGGTTCTGTTTCTACAGGGATCTCATTATTGAATTAAATGAAAACAACTTGAATAGCTGGACTGCCCATCACGGGTGGTATTCAGTGCATAAGATAAGTACACCACACGACAACCATCCTCAGAGGTCTATGCTAACAGTTAAATAACGTCTGCAGTATTAGGCCTGGTTACCTTTTGTAAATTCAGGAGCTGAGCATTGTTGGTTTGCGTGATTTCAGGCAGTGCTGGTGGCAGGGAGGAATGCATGGTCTGTATTAGCAGCTTCAAGCTCCAGAACCGTCTGGCGTAGACCAGACCCTTCCTTACCTGTTACTGACCTTCTGAACTCTTCAGTCTGGACCATTTGCCTGCCCCATGATGGCAGAGAGAAATCTGCATATGGCCATCCGTGCATAGGAAGTTCCCTGGCAGCTCTCTGCAAACTCCTTGTCTAAGTTTTGAGCACAGAGAACTGAGATAAAATGATAGCACTGTAGCTGGGCGCCTGTGGCTCATGCTTATAATCCTAGCTCCAAAGAAGCTGAGATCTGAGGATCACAGTTCAAAGCCATCCTGGGCAGGAATGTCCCTGAGACTCTTATCTCCAAATAAACCACTGGAAAACCAGAAGTGGCGCTATGGCTCAAGTGGTAGAGCTCTGGCCTTGAGCTGAAGAGCTGAGGGACAGCGCCCAGGCCCAGAGTTCAGGCCCATGACTACCAACAGCAGCAGCAGCAACAAACAACAAAAACAAAAACAAGAAAAAATTATAGGACTGTAACTGCATAAGTGATTTCACAAATTCCATTTCATTCAGAATCAGAAATGGACCTGTCTGGGGTTAGAATCTTCGCTTCCAGTTTTGGAATGGATTATCACAGGAGTGAGCCACGTGACAAGGGGGACTGTCAACTTCCAGCAACTTTGCTTCCTTGTCTTTTGTTTGTGTCCTTGTGCTGGGACTAGGACTTGAACTCAGGGCCTTACACTCTCATTTATCTTTTTCTTGTCAAGAATGGTGCTTTACCATTTGATCTGTACCTCAACTTCTGGCTTTTTGCTGTTTGACTGGGGATAGGAGTCTCATGGATTTATTTGCCCAGCCTGGCTCAAACCGAGATCCTCCCATCTCCGCCTCCTTGGAGTCAGCGAGTGGCAGAACAGAGCTGTAACCAGATCTCAGCTACTCTGGAGCAGGGGCCTCCGGCAGTGTATCGCATTGTACCCAGCCAGACTTCATTATGTCTGGAGTTGCCGGCTGTTCCCCTGTGAGAAGTCGGGAACAGGAGGACAGAGCTGTTAGTGACATGGGCAGGGAGCTGAGACCTTGTGTAATATATACCTCCAGTGCCTAGCCTCGGGCTCGTAGCATAATAATTACTCAGAACATATCTGTTGGGTGAAGGAGCCTATGAGAAACATGCCGTATCGTGAATGGAACACTTGGAATGATTTCTTTCTTCCTGAAGGTCCTTGAACACGTGCCCCTGCTGCTGTATATCCTGGCTGCGAAAACACTGATTCTCTGCCTGGCATTTGCAGGAGTAAAAATGTACCAGAGGAAAAGATTGGAAGCAAAACAGCAAAAGCTAGAATCTGAAAAGCAGCAGCAATCAGAGAAGAAAGACAACTGAAGGTACCTTGCAACTCACTGAGAACTCTGTGACCCTTAGACCTGCAGGGCGGAGGGCGGGAGGGGACGCCTGCAGACAGGCCTGTGGGGCCTCGGGCTCCTGAATACTGTAAGGACAGCTCTGGGCCTTCTCCACAGAGAAGAAGACATGCCAAGAACATCAGCCATGGTGCCCACGTTTGCTCATGTGCCTAGAACAGGGGAGGCAGGGACGCACAGGGCTTGAGAAGCCCCAAGATGAAGGGGCTCTGGTATCAGACAAAGTCATCCCCAAGACTCTGGCATGGCAAATAAGTTCCTTCCCAATCTGTCCTTTACCTAACCGAACATTACTTTCCCCTCTGCTGCCCACGTTGCATCCTCCTGCATTTCTGGACCGTGATCTTGCAAACATTTTCATGTCCTGGCCTTTGAGCCCTTCCTGCCAACCTCGTCCGCACGCCTGAGTGCTTGGTTATCCCTGGAGCCGGCTCCCCCACAGAGTCCACAGGAGCCCCGGACAGTGCTTGTGTGTTCAAGACCGAAGGTTCCAGAAGCGGTAGTTGAGGCTGTGACTGCCCGGGTGTCCTCCAGCTCCGCATGGACCACATCCACGGTTACAGCTGAGCACCTGCTCTCTTGAAAACCCCTCAGATGGTTCTTCCCAGCAGCAGGTTACTGTGGAAACCACAGGGTTTGGTGGCTCCAGAGCCCTGCCCACCTGCAATGCTGGGTTTCTGAAATTAGGCTTTCCCTCAGCTCCAGAGCCATTTTAAAAGCTTTCAGCTCCCGGAGCTTAAAGGCAGGTGTATTCGTAACAGTAGCAGTGCTTGATGGGGGTGAGCTGTAGCTCTTCTGCAGATTCTGAAAAAACACGATGAAAGCAACCAGGTGAAACACGCAGCCACCCTTCCCAGCCCTGGACCTCACCGAGCCCTGGACTTTTGTCCCCCACCAGCCTGCCTCCACTCGCTCATCCTCCCTAAACTGTGGGCGTTTGCCAGGCCAAAGTTACCGTTACAGGACCTTGTCTTTAAAAAGAATGTGTTTATTAATGGGAACGGAGGAGTAGCCAGACCTAGAAATACAGAAAGTTCTTGGGGTCATTGCGGATGGCCACATCCAACATGTTTTATTTACTATTGGGTGGAAGAAGAGGGTGCCCTTAGAAACTAGGAATGTTGACGGAAGAGAGTTTTAACCAGCGTTGATTGGACTTATATTCTAGACAGTCATCAAAAGGGCTTTAAGCTACAAAGAGAGGGAGAAATGAAGTGGGAGCTCATAATGCCTCGTTCCTCCTGCAGATGTCACCAGAGTCAGTGATATTAGGTGGCTGTGAACAGACGTGTTTAGAGCTGACTCAGGAAGCAGGGCAGCTAGAAGGAGAATTGTGACGCCCCGAACAGATTCACTAAGAGATAAACTGATTGTTTCTGTTTGTTGATGCTAACCACCCAAACATCAGGTTAATGTGGACCAAGAAAGGCCTTGGCTATAACTTCAGCAAACCTTTCCTACTCACCCTCACCCCTTTGGTCTTCCTTTCTAGATTTTGCTATTGAAATGGCATCTTGAGTGGATTCCAGCTGTGAAGAAAGAGAAGGCTTAGTAGTTACTGAATATGTCAGAGAATAAACTCCCAAATGCATACTTCTAACTTAAAATGAGAGCAATTTTTTATATAGTTAAAACAAATCAAGTATTTTGTTCTTGAAATAAAAGCAGTCTCTGGTCTTTTGAATACATTTAGAGTCTCTCTCTGTCTCTGTCTCTGTCTCTCTCTCTCTCACACACACACACACACACACGCACATGTTGGTTGTGGGAGAGGAGAGTTTTGCGTGCCATCTTTTTTGAAGTATTTCCTAGTGGGAGAACAGGTTTCAGATCCATTTGCACAGAGGCCTGGACACACAAGTTTCCCTGCTGTGTGGGATGAGATCCCGCAGACTGGAAACTTCCGCCTGCGCCTCCTCACCCCTGCTCCCCCCCCCCACTGCTGCAGTTTGTTGCCATCCTGAGTGCCATTCTCGCCGTTACCGAGGCTGTGTGCTGTGCGCTGGTCCAGGAGCGTTGGCCCCCGCTGGCCCGAGAAGGGAGTTAGGGACAGATTCCTCTGTCAGTGATCCTGTTAACGCTCATTTCACCCCTTCCAGCTGGACCTGAGTCATGCGCTGGCCGCTGGCCGCATCGCCATTTCGAGGCCCAGCCCTCTTTAAGCCTCCTGAAGAAATCCACACAACTTCTTTTATTTCATGTGATTGCTGAGCTGTTCTAGAATGATAGTTCCAAGTAGAGTGAATCCTGAGCTGTGGGGCCCAAAGAGTCTAGAGGAGACGTTCTTGTTCTTTTTCTTTTCTATTATTCTTACGTAGGTGTAGAAAAGGGTTTCAGTTCATCATGCCAGTTTGTAAGAACAATGCCTCTTGATTGGCGTCCCCCGTCTCTCCCAACTCCACCCTGCCCCTCAATCTACCTGGCTTGATTTACCTCCACCTGAGCTCCTTGGAGAGGCCTGCTCAGCCTTGGCAAAGTGTTCGATTGGTTCCACTGAGGCCAGCACCCGCCTAGCATGAACAGAGAGGCAGAGGTCTAAAGCTTTGGACTCCAAGGACTTCCAGGTGAGGCCCATATCTGACCTCTTGCCTCTGCCAGAGCTCCTTTACCACGGCAGGTCCGCTCCCACCCCTCACCTGCGCCAGGGCCTCGGCTCCGCCTGCTGCCCACTCTGTGGGGCTAGGGTGCCACCTGTTCTCAGCATGTATGGTCCAGACTGCAGGCACCATTTTGTTCATACACAACCATTCATGTGCCTCCAAAACTTGAGATAGAGCATCGGCTATTGATACAGAATGAAGTTTGCTTAACCAGTAGATAATCATTTATTTCAAATACAGAGGCCTATCTAGACTTAGCTATTTAAGGCTTGGTTTTGGAATGTGCAGAATATGGGAACTTTAGTAGACGTTGAGTACAGGTTGAATGAAAAGCCATGGCTTTCCTGTGAACCGCTTGGGGTTGGTGTGTTCTGCAACACCGCCTGGCACTCTTGTACCGCTAGGGGGAGATGACCAGCAGCTCACTGGGGTTGGCATCACTTCGTCTGTACATTTTGGTTGTAAATGGTTGGACTCAATGGCTGGAAGTAGGTAGGTAGACGGTTTGTAAAGCTCGGCCAGGGCTCTCGTCAGGACCGTGGCTGTCCAGCGGCTCTGGAGTAACAGGAGTATGTGGGAAGCCGACAATCGTCTTGGAGCAGATGAAAGATTTCACAGAAAACCTGAACTCAGAACCACATTTTCTACCCACGGCACCAGCCAGGACCTCTCCTGCAGCTCCTGATCAATCTTACTGCATGCGTGCCTGACATAGCTACTTCTTTTTTTAAAGCTTGCAACACATTAGGAGCAGAGGGAAGAACGGCTGTTGGCAGCAAGCATCCCTTCAAGTAAGAAATCCAAACAAAGCAGGCCTGAGAACTCATTGTCTTCAATGCCGCCTGGTGGCGCGGCCCACAGTCCCCACCAGGACGCGCTGATGAAGATGGCCTCGGTCAGGAAGAAGAGGTTAAACTGCGGTGTACATTAGGAGTTTGAGAAGTCAAATTGTGGTCCACGGCCAGCCAAAGCAAAAAGATGAATGAGATCCCATCTCAGCCACCAAGCCAGGTCTGATGGCCACAGGTATAGTCGTAGAGCAGGAAGGATTGTACTTCAGAGTCTGGAGCATGAAATCAGCAACGTCAGTGACACTGGGGAGGCCGGGGTGAAATGAGGATCTAACGAGACAGGGCCGAGCTCACGGCATGCAGAGCTCACACCCGTGCAGTGGTGCGTGCGCCTGTGTGCACATGCACACTCGCTCACATGCACACGTACCGCGTCTGCTCTCCCAAGGCCAAGCGCTCCCACTGGGCGTTCATAGTGGGCGTGCAAGGTGGGCACGAGGAAGCAGCAACCGGGGAGCGCGGGCTGGTGAGCACAGGGATCTTCTGTGAGGGTTGAACCCGGGCATCCCTGTGTTCACTCAGCTGGACTGGACTCAACTCTTTTAGGAGCAGCCGCTTGGTTTCAGCATCTCCCTTGTTTCCTGAAGGTGCCCGTGGCATTTAGCACAAGTGACTCCATCTTGGTGTAGTCTGGTCTGTGTGGATGTGGCCAGGAACTCAGTGGTCCTCTATCTTGTTCACACACAGGAGTCCTAGGCTTGGCACACTGCCTGGTGGGAGGTAGAGGCCCTGCCTCCTCCCCCCCACCCCACCATGAAGTCCCCCTCCTCTCCGTCTGGGCTCCAGGCTCTTCCTTCTTCTGGAAGCTTTTCCCCCAGTCCGCAATAACGGCCTGGACTCAGCCTTTACTGCCAACATCTCCCATCATAGAGCAGTGGTCCCACCTCTGGGCTGTGGCTGCCTTGGGGACCCTGGCTTATTTTCTTTGAGGTCCCCAGCCCTGGCACACCCTTCTGCATCTACTGAAGGCCCTGCAGTGTTTGAGGAAGGTGTCCTGCTCGGATGGGTGGGGTTGTGGTTCCCACCGCCCTGTGACTAGCTGTACGTTACCATCCAGCCTTGCCTTTGTAAATTGAGCTTACTGTCCCCTGTCCCGTGTGTTGCTTGTCTGAACTGAGGTCAAGATGTAAAAAGTACAAGTGCTCACACCTGGAGGGGAAGTGAGAGCAACTCAGCCCCGCCGGGTGGCCAGGTGTGGCCGGAGCTCATCTCACTGGGCTGGAGCCAATCAATCGGTAGCAGGCTCCATATGCTGCTTTGCTCTGAGCTGCTTCTCGGGCAGCTCTGCTTTCTGATGTGTCACTCCAAGCTGTAGGAAGGGAGAATAGCATCACCATGAGCTTTATTCCCAAGGACTTGGCTACAGCTGTGTGGCTCAACCCTGTGGTGCCATGTGTGGACATCAGTGGAAAATGCTCTAGACGTGACTATTCCCAGAGAGATTCTGGGCCACACTCACCGGCCCCCGCCCAGCCCCACCAGAAGAAATCTCACGGTTGATTCTCTAACCTGTTGCTGCTGATCTTAAAAAGCAAGGCCAGGGAACAAACTTTCCTTTGATCAAAGCAGCTTGCATGTTTCTACTCTTGCTTCCCAGTGGTAAAAGAAGTAAAAACTCGCCTCTAAGAGTAAAAAGAAAAGAAAGGAGGTCAGCCACATTAGACCTAATGGCGGCCACCTTCTCTTAGAGCTCAGCCTCATGAGCTTTGGTTTTCTGAGCACACACGGGTGTGTGACGATCTTAAAGCCTTCAACTGATTTTCACTAGAGCGAACTGAGCCTCAGGAAGTAAACTAACTTATCCACAGTATCACAGCTAATAATACGCTGTAACTTTCTAAACTTCAGATTCCCAACTAGGTCCCAGGTCCCTGTGTGCTTCTGGCTGGCAGTTCCCATGCCTTCTATAAAACAACACTTCTGACTTATGAAGGCACTCTTATGTAACTAAATTGCACATTAAAGTTGGCCAGCTCGATCTCTCTGATTATATGCAGGTTCTCTTTCTCCTGCTTGCATTTCTAATGACTAAAAGAGATCTCCAAGGAATAGAACTCTAAACTCAGATGATTAAATTGGCTTGGTTTTCAAACAAAAGAAAAAATAGCTCCTGTTGGCTTATTTTGTTTGATAACCTAAACACGCGCCATTATTTTTCTCAGAGGAACATAATGTACCCTAAAAAGGTATCCTACCTCCCCCTCTGCCCCGTGACATGTGTTCTTGCTGTGACATGCAGCTGGACACGGCCACTTTGCCAGCTCTTGTCTGGAAAGGTCAGGCATCATGTCCTCCTTCTATCATATAAGTAAGACAAAGCTGGACCTGGACCTGAATAATCCAGTAGTAAGCATGGTGGCTTGGGAACATGGCCTGAGAACCCGACAGCCCCCGGGGCTGCTTCTTGTCTTGTTTCCTCATCTGTGGAATGGGAGGGATGGCCACAGCTGTCCATAGGGTCGTCATGACGACGGAGGTTCAGCTGCTTGTTGTTAGGGAGGCTTCGTGATTAATGGATCAAATGTGACCTCTAGATTGAATATCAGCTCCTCTGCACAGAAGAATAGTAGCATGCTTACATCACAGCCAATGGTGAAGATCAGATAACTCAGATACACACACACACACACACACACACACACACACACGCATGCACGCACGCACGAACGACAGGAAAGTCACCATCAGAATAATAACCTTGAATCTACCTCTGACTGGTTCTATGTAAAACTGTTAGTGCTTATTACCCTAGAACTCAGGGTACTTGTGAACTAAGTGTGAGGTGAGTGCAAAAACCACTTGTATCCTCATTATCTTGTCCATGCAATTGTAACCCCTCTATATGGTATTTTCACAATTAAAAATAAAAATCAACACTTATATCATCACACCCCAGCCACCTACAGTTAGACTCATGCGATGGCAGGACATTGAAGAGACCCAGGACATTTGAATACTGTCATTTGCTCTCTAGGGAATAAAATCCTAAAATATGGGAAACATAGGTGGGAAAAAAGGTTACACAAGCCAGGTGGCTCATGCCTGTAATCCTAGCTATTCAGGAGGCTGAGATCTGAGGATCATGGTTCAAAGCCAGACCAAGCAAGGAAAGTCCACGAGACTCTTATCTCCAATGAAGCACCAGAAAGCCAGAAGAGGATCTGTGGCTTCAATGGTAAAGCACTTGCCTTGAGCTGAAGAGCTCAGGGACAGTGCCCAGGCCCAGAGTTCAAACCCCATCACTGACCAAGATTACACAAATATACTGCACAGTAAGAGTTGGTTCATCAGGTAAATTGCCGGTTAAAAGTAACATTTTAATTAGCAGGATAAATTATTCATTAGTAGCCATAAACCTAATTGGCCTTAATCCTTGCATTAATGTGGCCCTCGCAGAGATTTTAACAAGATGAAGTTGAGACCTCCTAATTTACCAACAAGCTTTTAATAAATCCTCCAATAAACGCAGGACTTGGCCAACTTCCCTGGGAGCTCCCAGGCTCCGTCACCACTGAAGTCTCTGGTGGCAGCGGTGCAGAATCAAGCCCAGCAGAATTGGTGGTGAGGGCCATACTTCCTGCTTGCTGGAAGGATCATTCTAAGCAAATTTCCCCAGATAATAGTTTTCCCATCTCCGTACCTTGTTCGTCAGTGTTTTCCACTTGGTTAGGTTTATCCTATCGATCCCTTTGCTAATTAAATCATTGAAAAGTATATACTGATAAGAATAGACACTGTCAATAGACTGCAAACAAAACTCTTTCCTGTTATTGATGATAAACCATTTCATAGAAGACCAGGCTGAGTCTAGGGGATTCAGGTAATTATAAGGGGAAGGCAGAATGAGAAGCTCGTGGCCGTAGGACTTGGCCACCTGCGGACAGCACGCAATACTTGTTAAGTTAATGCCCGTCGGGCTGTCCGGCTGGGCCTCTGCTTTCTTGTCGTCCTTTGGCTTTGCTCCATCCTGTTGCCTTTTCCCTTTCACCACGATGGCACACTTCCCATAGGCCTTCTTCACCACTTCGCAGAACTCGAAGAAAATGTTCTCTTCCTGTCTGATGCAGAGTTCATCTCTGAGGAATATCCGGTACCTCCAGGGCACCCATCCTTGACTGCCTCCACCGTGAACGATGCACCAGGTCGGCGTCTGCATGAAATACCCATCACTGAAATCCTCCCCTGTGACGAGACTTTCCGGGATGTCCGTCTCCCCCAGATACACAGTCTTGAATCCGTCGTATTGCAGGGTCCGCAGGGTTTTCAGGTACTGGAGGCATTGCTTCCTCTTAATGCTGTCAAACTGATTTCTGATAATGATGTTTTTTAAAAGAGGGTTTGCAAAATGAAGCATCGTGGCCCCTTGAGCGTTTACCTGTCTCCATCAGGGAGCTCCGATAGCTGAAGGACAATGACCTCACAAAGGGCTTCCTTCCGGCTGCGCTACTCCCATAGTTACACCAGACCCTGAGCATCATGGGAGACACAGGCTCAGAACGGCTCCCTTCTGGCCTATAGGATATGAGAATGGAAAATGGTACTTTGACATCACTCCTGCCATAGATGTAAGTCTTTTGGTTCAGCAGGATGGAAAGAAATACGTAGAAGCCTTCATCCATACCAGAAATATTTATGGAGCACCCATGTGAAGTAGGTATTGTGCCATGCATCAGAGGGACAGCCCGGCACAATTCACGGAGGCTGGTGGGGGCCACTGTGCACACGGAACTCTCACCAGCTGCCTGCCCACTTGCTTACGCAATCACCAGTGGATTTACCAGGAGGCAGAAAGAAATAGTAAAGATCAGAACTGAAATGAATGAATGTGGGAGCCAAACAGTACAGAAGATCAACAAAATAATTGTCTTTAATAAACAAGATTGATGCACCCTAAGCCAAAGTCACTAAAAGGGAGAGACACCCCCAATTAACAAGATTAGAGATTACAAGAGAATTTATGGGGCTGGGAAGGTGGCTCAGTGGTAGAGCGCTTGCCTTGCATGCATGAGGCCCTGGGTTCGATTCCTCAGCACCACATAAGCAGAAAAGGCCAGAAGTGGCACTGTGGCTCAAGTGGTAGAGTGCTAGCCTTGAGCTGAAGAGCTGAGGTCATGAATATGGCCGGAGGGACATTAAGACTCTGGCCTGCCCAAAGCAATGGGGGCAAGCCACCGGGGGCTGAAAACTTTGGTGTGAGCCAAAGTAAATTTTCCTCCTTACAGTCATTTATCTCAGGATTAACCAATAAGACTGACAATAAGTAACCTTACCACGTGCGGCTAGCGTGGGGAGAGCTCTCAGTTCACACTTTGAAGTGGAATTTCTACCACATGTGACTGTTTTTGCCAGCACGGAGTATTTGATGGGCCGATGGGGAGTTCTGTTTCCCACTTCACCTGCCAACCCACGGTCTGCCTAGGGGCGATTCAAGCAAGCCCATGGAGGAGGGCAGGACATTTGGAGAGCTGCTTTGCCCTAACTGACTTTGTGCTCTCTCGCTCGCTCGCTCTCACTGTCTTTGCTAAATCTGTGCACACGTCTAGGAGAGGCTGTCCTTTTGTGGATGAGAGTGTGTACATGGGAGTATATTGATACCTGCGAGTGTATGTCCATGTGGATGATTGTTGTTGTGGTAGTGTGTATTCCTGGGAGTGTATTTACACATGAGAGTGTGCATGTAGGAAAGTGTTTGGGATGTGTACGTCAACATGTGTGAGCTTGAGTGTGATGGGGCATGTATAAGTGTGTGTGTTGAACGTGTGTGTGTACATCTGTGTGTGGATCGTAAATCCCTGCACCTGCCAGTGCACGCCCAGCTACACTTCCTGTTTTCTGGAAGCTGGGCCAGAAGGGGAAGGGAGAAGCCCACGCTGAGCCCCACAGCGCTCGCACGGCCCTCCTCCCATGGCCTTCCTACCGGGCAGCTGGGGAGAGGCTGGATCATTAGTAGTCAGGGTAATTGTCAAATTCTCTCCAGCCTCCTTGGTCACGCGATGGGCGAAGGCTGGACGGCACCCCGGCCTTCTCCTGGTCCTCAGCTGGACCAGAAGCAGGTGGCCACAGCGGAGGCTCTGCCCAAAGCTGGACGCCGCTGACACGTGCGCCACCTAGAGATGGGAGGCTCTCACTGCAGCCTGGCCTGAGCTGGAGCTCTCCGCCGATTGTCCACGTGGTTGAGAGGACGTCAAGGTCAGACAAGGACACCTCACCCTCCTGGAACCTGTCTTCACGCAGGATGGAGACGTGTGGGTGGAGAGCACCACAGCTGTGAGCATCTGGGTCAGTTCTAAAAGAAACAGAACGCCTTTGCCCTCTGCTAGATGGCCATGCAGACATTTCCATGCAGACACGTTTGTTTCTGTGTAAATGAGGAGATGGAGGATGGGGTGGGGCTTCCCGCCTCCCCAGGAGGACCCTAAGGGGCTGAGAGAACCTTGTTGGAGAACCTCAGGCCGGTGGTAGCCATTACTGCTGCTCCCCAGTTTGGGGCTCTGAGCCTCCTAGGTGCAGCGGTCCGCACTCGCTACCCCTGGTGGTCTGTTGGTGCTTGTTACCCTAGAGCTCTGGGCACAGGTGGAAGCCACTCATCCTTTCCAAGTGTCCTGACTCCTTCCTCCAACGCTGTGAAGCCGGAAGGGACGGCTCGGCATGGAACCAGCTGCCCTGCTGTGTGCAGGGGAAAGACATAAACCTAGGTGGCTTCAGCGACTGAAGTCTGGGGATGCTTGTTCTTGCCACTCATGCAGCCCACCATGACTCTAGTCCTCAGTTAAACCGATGAAGCTCTTGGGCTGGGAAGGTGGCTCAGTGGTAGAGCGCGTGCCTTGCATGCCTGAGGCCCTGGGTTCGATTCCTCAGCACCACATAAGCAAAAAGAAAAAAGCCAGAAGTGGCGCTGTGGCTCAAGTGGTAGAGTGCTAGCCTTGAGCTGAAGAGCTGAGGGACAGCGCCCAGGCCCAGAGTTCAGGCCCCACGACCGGACCTCCTCCCCCCAAAAAAGATGAGGCTCTTGAGGCCTCCCTCCTGAAAAAAGGATGGTCGGGCGGGGCTTGTACGGAGGAAGAAGAGGAGGAGGAGGTGTCCCGTCCTGCCCACCCCATCTCTCATGAATTCAAGGAATGGATCTGGAGTGGGCGTTGGCCACCAGTCCCTGCCAGCACCCAGACAGGGGCGCCTCTCACCAAGGCCAGCTCTGAGCTAGTTGCCGGCTACCGGGCTCCTGACCCACACAAGTAATTTTCTTTCTTCTTACCTGAAAGGAGAAGTCATGCTTGAACAAAGACTTAATGAAACCTTCCAGGGCTTTGGAACCTCATAGACTTCCCTCTGAATCTCTTGTCAGCTGTGGGACACTATTCAAGCTTCTTTGTGTCTGTGAGCCTCAGTAACGCATAGAGTTTATAAGAAGGCCACCAGGGCTGATGTATGGGAATGCACCTGCAATGTCATGGTGGTCTTAGAATTCATTTTCTTCCTAGTGTACCTTTAACAGACAGATGGTGTCTGTTCGGCTTTCATTTCTTCTGCTCCTTCCCCAGTGAAATGCTGAGTTTGGATCAGGTGGTCACTGTCCCAGAAGCTCGGGTTCTTCGGGAGGAAATCACGCCAACTCCCAGGCAAGGCTTAGACCTATCAGCATATTCCATTCCCAAGCCCATTTCCATCCTCCATCTGTGACCAGGAAGCTCAGATGAACCTCAGAATCTTGTTTGAACCTTAACCACCACCACTATCAACATCCACCAGCATCAGTTACCACCAAAGCCGCCAATACCCTGCTACCCCATCCATGTCACCACCAGCACAGTTCCCACGCCACCACCACAGTTACCCCCACCTCGGTTACCCTTCGTAGTTACCCCATAACATACAGACACACACACACACACACACACACATTCCCCCCCCCCAAACCCATTCACCTGAATGACTGCATTAGACCTTTCAGTGTGGCCAGTCTGCCAGCATTGTCCCCATTTTCTCTGTATACTGTGTTTTAGCGAATGGATGCGCTAAGCCAGGATACTAAAGCAGCGATGAGAAAGCTCAGCTTCGTGCCCAACACTTCTGCATCCAAGACCAATGCTGCTCTCGATGCACTCTATTCTTTGGGAGAAAATCGTTTCCAACTTCTTTATTTTTCAGTGTTTAACCGTTTTTAATTGTTACTCTAAAGGTTACATATGTCAGGTAGAGAGTGCATTTCTTTTTGGGCAGTGTCAGGCCTTTCCTCGCTGTCACTTCTGATAGGAGTAACCTTAGTCTTTAAAACAGAATCGCCCTTTCAGATCATCTCAATCCTGTCTGCTACAGATGAGCAGCATTTCTACGGCCCCCCCAGAGTGTCCGATCCCCAGCACAGCCCCCCTGCTGTGGCAGCAGGCCACCCCTCTTCCTGCCCTGGACTCTTCTGGATTCCCGAGGAGCACACGCACCGGGTGTCCGTCTGAGCACAGGCTTTGCTGGTGAACAGTGTGGCTTCTTCGCACGCCCTTGCTCTTCCCAAAGCACCCGAGAGTGGGAGGAAGACATAGGCCGCCTTCCAAAGTGAGTGCCGGCTTGGCGCGACTCCTTGAGGCCCACACTAGGCTCAGCCTCCTCCACAGGGTTCCAGGTAGCATCAGGCTGCTCTCTCCATGGCCTTGCTTTTCAGGGGATGTGCTGAGCTCCAGCGTCCGGGCCGGCCCGGCTGAGCTGCAGGGCCGCGGCACTGCTAACGGTCAGCGAAGAACATTTCAGCACCCTGCGCTGAAACTCTTTCCTCGTGAGCTCAGAGGTCAAATTTGAATAATAGACATCTTCTGAGACCTTGTCATTTTTCCTAAGGATGTTGCTGGCCAACCGGAAGAGGATAATCACACTGTAGATGCCAATGATGGTGAGAATGTACCAGGCGGCGCTTGTCCCATCTGGCAGCCACAGGGCCCGGGTGGAGTTGGTGCCATTCCTCCACTCCATGGGGCCACGCAGCAGAGAGCGGGCCTGGCCTGGCTGAGGGCCTGGCCTGGCTGGCTCCGTCAGCGTCTATATGATGTCAGAGAGAGAGAGAGAGAGAGAGATGAGATGAGATGAAATGCAGTGGTCAGAGCTACGGACTTCCTGGCCAAGCCAAAGAGTGTGGGAGCTACACACACGTGTGCACATGTGCACACACACACGCACACACACACACACGTATGAAAAATGAAAATCTCGGATTGCTTGAAAAGGCAATGGAATGAACAGGAGCTCAACAACATACACGTTCATATGTTCTAAAAAGCATGACGCAAAACACCAAGTGTTTGATTAGGAGAATGTAAAATCATAAAGGTATCTGTTGTCACTCAAAGTAATCTATCTAGCCAACACTTG